AATATGATTTCTTTATAATTTTATTTCACATTTTTTATTGATTCTTTGGGAATTTCACATTATATACTCCAATCCCACTCATTTCCCAGTCTTTTCATATCCTCATTCACTCTTGTAGCTCCCACAAAAGAAAATGTTTTAAGAAAGGAAAGAAAAGATAAACATTTCACTTCTCCATCTTTCCTTCCTCTCCATCATATATTCATTTGCCATGGTGGCCTTGGGAAGGCCGTGTGGCACATGGTGTACCCTTTCCCCAAGCAGTCACACTTATGATGTCCATTGCAGTTAGTTATTGGTCTGTTCCAGAATTCTGATACATCACCAATACTGGACCCTCACCAAAACTTCACTTAGCTACCCTGCGGTTGCCCTGATCATGGAGATCCTGTGGCCATGGTTCTACAGGATCAGTCACTTCACATGCTCTATTAGGTCATAGATGGGGTAAATATTAGCATGGGCCAACTCAAAGCCCTGAATGTTGGCCTGGGTGGTAGCTGAGTTTTTCAGTCAGGGGCTCTACCAGGACTGCCCCCCTCAGGTGAGGATCAGGGCCATGTCTCCCATGTTCATGGTGAGGGGTGAATCCAGCTCTCCTGTGTGCAGGGCCTTCTCTCCCGTGGCAGCAGCTGGTGTGTGGGGGAGGGAAGTTTTCCCAGAGCCAAAGTTAGTCATGGCCAGCTCTCCCACTGTGGCAGCCAGTGAGGAATGAGACAAGTTCTCCTGTGCCCAGACCATCAGGACCAACTTTCCCATGGCCCCCATAGTAACAAGGATCACAGACATCAACACAGACCCAGACATGGCCTTCAGTCACAGCCTATGCCTGGACAGCACTTGGCCCCAGGTGGCATTTTAGGCCACCCATATTAGCCTGTTCATCACCACCTTTTCATCTGTAATTCTGTTTCTCTCCACTGTGGACAAACCACTTCTCTCGCATTTTTCTACCATATGCCTGTTGACCTTAGTGACACCTACCAAAGGCAGGCCTGTGGCAGTCTGCTGCCCTCCTGGGTTTGTATGCATGATTTCTTGTACCTGTCATAAATGACATGAAGGTTTCTTATGATGATTGCATTAATCATATAGGTTTCTTTGAATAATATTATAAAATTGTTTTCCAATCCTATTTTAATTTTCTGGCCAAGTATAAAAGTGACTTTACTTGGATTTCAGTGTTTCATTAATATAATAATTAAACTTGTTGCCGAGCAGTGGAGGTGCACATTTTTAAACCCAGGACTTGGGAGGAGAGGCGGGCAGATCTCTGTGAGTTCGAGGCCAGTCTGGTCTACAGAGTGAGTGCCAGGACAGCCTCCAAAGCCACAGAGAAACCCTGTCTCAAAAACCAAAATAAGTAAATAAATAAAAAATAAATTTGTCTCTACTCCTATTTATTATTGTGGGTTTTCTTCCCTCCTGTTTTCCTACTTGGTCTTTTGTTTCATTTTTGTTTTTTTTTGTCTCAGTCAGGAAGACTTTTGGAGAATGGGTTGAGATAGGATTTCTCTGTCCCGGCCTATCCTGGAATTGGCTCTGTAGACCAGGCTGGCCTTGAACTCAGAGATCCACCAGTCTCTGCCTCCTGAGTGCTGGGACGAAAGGCATGTGCCACCACTGTCTGTCAATCAGGAACTTTTACAGTCTAAATAGTATTGTTTTTCATTATCACATTTTTTTCTGAAGGTACTGTTGCTTTTCTGTTCTTTCATGAAGTTATAGCTTATTATTCATCTTTTAAATTTTGTTTGATTTGGTCAGCGTTGTATGTGTTTTATTCAAAACCAGATTTGCCTTTCTAAGCGTAGCTGAACCACACTGATTTTGAAACTACTTTATCCATCCCATGGGTGTCTGGCACTCTTAGGAGGACCGAAGAGCTAGAGGCTGTCCTAAAGCTTAGAGCTTACCGCAGCAGGTGATAATGGCCTTTCCTGTAAGAGCTTCTCTCTGTGCTGCCTCTCTTATATCTATTTCCATATAAAAATGTCTCTCAGCTTGCATATTGATTGTACAGCAAGTATTTCTTGTAGATCAACATTCTGAACTTGGTTCTTCTTTCTGTGAATCTCAGATCACAACCCTTTTCCTGGAAGTGCATTCCTCAGGCTTCCTTTTAACCATAGGGACGAAGGGCTCAGTGCTGCTGCTCTGCTGTCTGACCAGGAATGCAGGCCAGTACTGATTTCTCCAGGTTCCTTACGTGACGATCAGTTCTTCTTCTTCTTCTGAAAGAGTGCATACTTGCGTTTCTTTTTCAGATACTCCTGCGTCTTTCTTCCTCAGTTACTCAATGCTATGGTTTCAACAGAATTTTAAAAAGAAAGTTATACTTGTTAAAAAATAAAATATACAGGGTAACATGAAATTTCATGAATGGGTATTTGAGCACTGGAGAGCAGAAGTCTCCATGCTGCTGCCTAACACATTTTCAGTTGGTTGATATTTAATTGTCTTTCTGAACTTTAGCTCTTGTGGCTCTCTCACTTTTAATCTCCCAAGTGACTAGTATGCCTTTAAATGAAACCATTAATTGTATACAGTGTAATTTAATTTTTTATATTTAGATGGCAAACACTTTTATATACATAATTCATAGACATATGAGTCAAAGTGAGTATAACAGTTTTCACTGTTTTTCCATGATCATTGTATTGCAACACCCAAACTGTACTTATTTTTGTCAGTATGCATAGAACATTTCCAAATAATAGACAAAAAAAAGTAGTACAAAATTGTTGAACCAGCTCATTCAGATTTTTCCTGCACCTACTTTAACAACTGAAATAAGCTTAAGTCACATCATGAGGGACAGGCACAGAGATTTCCTGACTAGAAAGTATTGTTTTATTCACCCCTTAATGGATGCATCTCTAAGAATAGCAGTTTACGTGTTAATTGTATGTGGACCCTTTTTCCTAATTGCTGCCTGCAGGTCAGAAGGGGAGATACGCATCTGGATGGTTGTCAGTTTCATGCACAGATATGATTCACCTTCCTCTTATTCTTAGGTTGTTTCCCAGCCCCCAGAGAATTTCCCTTGCTGCTAAGGTAGAACACAGAAACCTGAGTCTAGGCACACCTGCACATCAAAGGAAAGTTTAAGATTAAGCCATACATACTCAGAAGACATTGCCTCAACTATATAAGAAATAGGATCTGAAAAATTACTCCTCCCTGATGCTTAACATAGCTCAACTGGACTAGAGGAACTGCTGACCCTCACAGTTAGCCAACACTAGATGAGTATGAAACACAGCACCGCCAAGGTCTCCAAAAGAAAGCAGTAAACTTTAGCAAAATGGAGTACTCAGATGTTACTGGTCTTTAAAAGACTCTACTAAAGAGTACTAGCCATTTTCAATTATGCCTTCTGCCTCCATGTCCTAGGCAGTAGTGATAGCCTGTGCCTCCATGTCCTAGGCAGTAGTGATAGCCTGTGCCTCCGTGCCCTAGGTAGTAGTGATAGGCTGTGCCTCCATGTCCTAGGCAGTAGTGATAGCCTGTGCCTCCATGTCCTAGGCAGTAGTGATAGGCTGTGCCTCCATGTCCTAGGCAGTAGTGATAGGCTGTGCCTCCATGTCCTAGGCAGTAGTGATAGGCTGTGCCTCCATGTCCTAGGCAGTAGTGATAGGCTGTGCCTCCATGTCCTAGGCAGTAGTGATAGCCTGTGCCTCCATGTCCTAGGCAGTAGTGATAGCCATGCTCTCCTCTTATTAAGAAGATAAACGAACAACATCTCCTGTGCTAAGCCATCCTTGCTCCAGCTAGAAATTCAGCAATATGAATTAAAACACGGGCTTTTCTACTTAGATTTGTGAGTTTTTCATTTCTTTTCATACAATATCACCTCCTTCCTGATATCCCCTTCTTTCAGGGTTAGTCCTGCCTTTAGTCTTTACCACTGCCCTATAAGAAGTGTGGATTTGCTGTATTGTGTTACTCGGGTATAAACTCAACTGTACCTTTCTTCTAAAGTTGCCCCACCTTTTCTCCTGCACCAAAGCCGTGCTCCCCTCTGCCACTATTCCCGTCCTCTTCTCGTTTCCAGTCACTCTGCGTGAGCCACTGGCCGCCTCCTTTGCCTTCTTATCCTTCTGTCTGGCTTAGTTGCCTTTCACACTAATGTTCCATGTTCTTCTTCAAAAATTGTTGACCGAGCCCAGTTGACGCTTGTAGATGACATCACGTTGCATGTGTGTTGCTGTTTGTTCATTGGTTTCTTTCAGTTGTACATTGTCACATCCCCGATAACTTCTTGACTCCTCTCAGGCAGATTATCCATCCACCTTTTCTATGCCACAGTTTATCAAAGCCCTTTGTGCAGTATTTTATGCAGAGACATTTAGTTAAGGCTTACTTACTTGTGTTCCATTTAATTCTACATTTTAATCAGATGAAACTAATAGAACTGTAATATCCAGTTAAAATCCTGATACCAAGAAAAATAGTGACAATGTGATACCAAGAAAAATAGTGACAATGATTATTTTAGAAAAATTATACTTATGAAATGACATTATAATTTTCAAAATATCAAATGGGGTGATTGGACATGGTGCATATACCTGTAATTATAGTACCCACGAAACTGGACAGGCAGTAAACCTTTTCTACACTTGCTTTGGTTAGTTAGTGAGACCAGACTGTTTTTCTCAAAGAAACAGAGTACCCCCTACAAACAGGCTAAAAGCAAAGTAACTTCTCAACCTCAAATACGTTGACTGTCCTTTATTTCTAAAATCACTGTAATTCCTACATGAAATTATTTAAGTATATAAGAAATGAAATATTTTCTGTTGAAAGGTGTCCTGTGCCTGAGGAATTTAATGGTTTTCTTTCCCTTTGTTGCTCAGTTTTAATCCTATCATAGTTGATCAGAGCTGAGGTGAGACACTCTACAGAACTTTAAACCTTTTAGAGATGAGAGTCTGGGACTATTTCTGGGACTCCTAGTTAGATTCAACATATGTTTATTTTTTTCTTTTTTTCAGATTTCCTGAAATGCAGTTTTTCCAACAAGAAAATGTGAGAAAAATTCTTACAGATGTTCTGTTCTGTTATGCTAGAGAAAATGAGCAGTTGCTTTATAAACAGGTAATGAAAATATCTTACAGGTGACACCCATTGACTGAGAATATCAGTACACTTCAACAATGGCAGGACAATATGCAACCTTTGTTCTGTCCAAAGTGCTATCACAATGTAAGGTAGCACTGCTCGCCAGATGGAGAGAGCAAAGGGCACGCATTCTGAAGCGCTCGTTCCTCATTGTGAGACAGGCTGTCTGTCTTCTGTGTGCTGTCTGATCTTCCCTGTACACTTTTGGAGTTCATATATCAAACTTTTCAGAATTGTGTGTAAATATCCTTCCTTCCTTCCTTCCTTCCTTCCTTCCTTCCTTGTTCATTTTTGTTGTTGTTTTTTGAGACAGGGTTTCTCTTTGTAGCTTTGGAGACTGTCCTGGAACTCACTCTGTAGACCAGGCTGGCCTTGAACTCACAGAGATCCACCTGCCACTGCCTCCCAAGTGCTGGGATTAAAGGCATACACCACCATGGCCTGGCATAAATATCGTTTCTAAGTACAGCAATTATTAATATGTGACATCATGATGAAAGTAATCAGAATGTCCCTCTGAAGTGTACCCACAGTGAATTTGAGAAAGGTTCTGCAATTTTTTAAGTTTTAAAGATTCTTAGCTAGATTCTTGTGCTCTGAGTTTTGACTCATTTCATTACCAAAGATGACTAGATCATTTTAATATTTTAAAATATAAATCATTTAATATATAAATACATACAAATTTCTTATTTAAGTTTATTATATTGCACTATATACATGCATATACTTAAGTATTTTTGTTTTCTAAGTATATATAAGATTTCAAACTAAATTAAAAACAATCAAAAGTTACATCTAGTTGTAGTTTAATGAAACAGAAAATAACTGTGGAAAAGGTGATATTCAACCAGAAGGAAACTTTACAAGGTTTTAATATGGGACAGCCAGGTTACAGTTGTATTAAGAACTCTCACAAGGTAGGCTTGACTCTGGAATGGAGCCACACCGAGATCCATCACATGTGTTCTTACTAGTTACATCTCATCAGTAGCCATTCAGAATTTAAATTGAAAATATGCATTTCATTCAAATTTCTGCAGATATATTTGATACTAAAGTGATAAACAAATAGAAAAATAATAGTATGTTTTTCAGTGGGAAATTTTAAATACAAATATTCCTTCTTCCTAAATGAATGTGTAATCTCAGTAATTGTCTGGAATATGTATCTTATATATTAAAGCTTGCCATAGTTCTTTCACATTTAGTGTCTCAAAGATGAGCATTGGGCTGAAGAGGCCCAGGTCACAGCACTGCTGTTTGGTTCTTCTGTTTTGATTTGTCGATCTCCAGGTCTATTTTTGTGCTTTATCGCACTGTTTTCATTTGCTGTGATAGTATGTACTATACTTTCAAGTGTGGCTTGACATTTAAGACAATAATTTTTCTCACATTCCTTTTGCTCAGGATTACTTTGGTTATAGGAGTGTTTATGCTGCTGTGTGAATTTTATGATTTTTACTTTTGTTAGAATGGTCATTTTTATAATATAAATTCCATCAGTTCATGATAATGGGGGGAGGGGTCTTTCCATCTTCTAGTGTCTTCTTCTGTTTCTTTCTTAAGTTCTGTTTAGAAAAAGACAAAACTAAATCAAACAAGTCTTTAATAATGGAAACAAGTTGTGCACAGAGAAAATAATGTAGCATCATACTCCAACATTTGATGTATGTAGGCCAATGTATTTAGAGGAAAGACTAGATAGGAGTATGGAAAATAATATTTCTTGATGAGTTAAAACAAACCTATCAATTACTGAATATAAAAGTATTAACATACCTGGGTTTCACTTTAAAAGACTTAATTACCCCTCTACATGTTAAATTCTAACAGAGAAATAATACTTTGCTGTAGAAGGATTGAATATTTAGCCGTATCAAATTTAAGGGGAAAAAGCCTTCAGTTTCATCACAAGCTGTTAAAGCTATTATTTTGTACTAGGTGACACCCCGTTTAACATCGACCATATTGTTAATAGTTATGGGATTTTATTGAATTAATGAGACTGTTATCATGTAGTAGAATGTCTTGCTGAGTTAATTGAAATTGCAGAGATTATATAAATGGTATTAATGAACTTTGACTGCCTGATGTTGCAGCTTTAATAAAGACTGCTTGGTGGGCTAAATGAGCACAGGCAGATAAAAGAGCAGGTTCAATTTTGTGAGCCTACAGGCTGAAGAAAACTTTGTTACCTTTATGTTCACAGGCATGGGTTTTGAGTACAGAGACTACTAATACTAAAGACCATGCAGGGGTAATAGTTCTAACTAAGCATGGATATGGGGTGGGCACATCAAAGTACACATACTAAGAAGAATACATTTTTCCTTTGTTTTTGTCAAGTCAAATCATGATTATTTCTCTTTTAAAGTTGTGTGTATACTTGCCATTTCCATCTGCTTTTGTTTATCTGATTTTTGTCTTTATTTTCTTTTTCCTGTTGAAGCCAGGCCTTTGAACATTCTGTTATTGGGCTCTGTCCTTAATCTACTTGTAATTATTAATCAAGTTTTACTAGACTAAAATTGAGAGCAGAAATAAGAATTTTTCTGGGCTGGTGAGATGTCTCAGTAGTTAAGAGCAGTTCCTAGCATCCACATGGATGCCAACGACTGTTTATGACTACAGTTCCATGAGATCTGCTGCCCGTTTCTGGCTTCTGTGGACACTTCACATGATGAGCAGACATACATGTAAGGGTGAATGACTACTCAACTCAGACACATAAAATTAAAACAAATTATTTTGTTGGTTTTTTCTGAGACAGGATTTCTCTATGTAACAGCCCTGGCTGTCCTAGAACTCACTCTATCGACCAGGCTGGCCTTAAACTCACAGAGATCCTGCCTCTGCCTCCCAACTGTTAGGATCAAAGATATTTACCATCCCCCTTAGAATAAATCTAAAAAAAAAATTCTCCCAGGTATTTCAGAAATGCTATATTTTTAACAAGTAAACACTAAACTTCTAGAAGATTCTTTTAGGAGCTGGAGAGAAGGCTCAGCACAGGCTGCTCTCCCAGAGGACCTGGGTTCAGTTCCCACAGTTACCATAGCACTTCACAACAGTTCATAACTCTAGCTCCTTTTATGCCTCCATGGTTACCAAGCACACACTTGATGCACAGACCTGCAGCCAAAACACTTACACACATACAATAATATTTTTTAAAAACACTATCTTCATGCCGTTTAGAGGACTCTAAATTTTCATTCTGTAAAATATACCTTTATTTATTGATTTGAGATATGATAATAATACTCCTTTTTTAATATTGTGGCTCACCTATTCAATATATAAATATGTTAGCTGGTAGCTCATTCATTCAAAATACATATCCAATGAAGTATGATGGGCCTCTAAAAGGATTCCTTAGAGGAATGATACTTAAGACATCATGAGTATTTCAAAATCCATGGATGTGCATATCTGAATTGCAATACTTGCACATGGCCTACAATAAATTTTCCCATTTACTTCATGAAATCTCTGTGCTACTTATAATAACTAATATATGTTTTATGTAAAGAATTGCTAAATTGTATTATTTAGAGATAACTGAAAAGGAAACTAAGGTTGGTGTGGGTGCAATTCCTTTTAATTATTTTTTGCTGTGTGTATATCCCATTTCTGCGTGTGTGTTTTATGTGTAGAGCAGAAGCTGACTTAGGTGTCTACCTCAGTTGATTTCTAATGTATTTTTCAAGACAGGAACTTTCACTGAACCTGGAGCTAACGGGCTCTACTGACTGCCAGACACACCTCTGGTACCCTGCTATCTCTGTGTCCCCTGGGATGATCTTACATATGTATGAACCATATGTAATTTTTTTACACAGGTATTGAAGATCAACCTCATATCCTCATGTGTGGGTAACTTTTCAAACTGACTGATGTCCTCAGCCCTCTCTTTTGGTACTGTTTTTAACCCACTGTTTTTTCATGCCACAGATATAGAACTTATATGTAGAGAGCTGAATGTACATACATACTTATTCACACATCTTTGTGTATACACATACTAGTTTATAGATTAACCATTTTAATACTCATATTACTAATGTGTGTCTTCTGCAAAAGAATAAGGTCCCATTGAGGTTAGGAACCAGCCTACTTTATTGTGTCCCTCACACGTGTGGCAGTTGTCATGTGATAAGCAAATGGCAAATGATATTTGAAGGACTAGAATATTTAGACAGATGAGCACCACAGAAACTAAACAGTCAACAATACTTAAAGAAGATGGAAAGACACAAAGAGATAAAAATAATTATTTCATATTTGAGTACTTTATTTATATAATTTGCACCTCTTCTCTTTGCTCCAAATCCTCTTGTGTCCCTCTCCACTCCCTTTCAAATTTATTATTTGTTCTTATTTGTTACTTTTACATATATACACATATGTATATATGCATATACGCCACATTGGGGTTTGTTTAATAATGCTCCTATGTTTGTATGTTTATGGTTGACTATTTGGGATTGGATAAACTATAAAGTAGCTCATTCCTGGAGAAAACTGATTTTCTTTCTCATAGCATCCATTCATTGCCTATAACAATTAGTCATCTGTGGGTGGGAGGCGTGTGAAGTTTCCCCTGTCCACATAAGTATGTCAAGTGATATTTTGAAGTGCCCTTATTTAGGCAACCATACTGTTGAGATTTCATGGGTGCATCTTCCATATTAGCTCTAGAAGACCCTTAACAGTAGGCATCCTAACCTCTGGCTCTATCTATCTTCTCACCATTTCTCCTAGATTTTGCCAGGCCTTAGATGCTGGTGGTTTTCCTGTAGATGTACCAAATGGATTTATAGGCCCCTGGTCTCTAGAGTGTTTACCATGTGTGATTCTCTGAATGAGTCTTAGAAGTGCAAATGACGCTTCTTTGATGATGGGTCAGGGTTACATTTACCTTTGGTTATAAGGATACATGTTTGAATTCAACAGAAATGATACTGGTTTAGGAAAAAGGCAGAAGTAGAGTCTGTAACTCCTCGACCCACAGCTGGCTGTCTAGGTTTACAGGGGGAAGCATGAATCCCCCCCTACTGAGGGGGCTTGAGTCCAATTAGATGAGTATTGCTCATCCCCAAGATATAACTGGCGTTGGACGGACCTTCAGGCATATCTTGGCGGGGTGGTCATTGTAGTTTTAACTTCAAATCTGGGTAGAACTATCGATTGCTTTTTTTCTCTTTGTAACTTGTACCTAACAATATTATGACAGCTACTCTTTCAGAGAGGTTTCCAAGTCACTTCCAACTCAATTCCTCCATGTCCTTTGTCCAGCATGTGTGATGTTTTAAGCAATAAGGACTTACCTTCAAGTTCTGAGAAGCACCTATGAGTAATGGCAGTAGTATATGCTTTGGGGGCAGTCTCTTTGACTCCCTGACAACTTGAAGGTAAAATCTGCATACCTGCTCCCAGAATTTTCTGCTTGGTAGTCCCCGATACTTGGAGAAAGAAAGCATTATTACCCATGTGATGTAACTCCTTAACACAAGACAGCATACACACAATTATATATTTATTTTATGGAAGTGTATGTTATGCTTCTATATGGCTTTTTTCAAATATTCATAGAGTTACTTCTCTCTCCTTCCTCCCCTGCCACTCTATTACCCTACCCCCTTTACCTGTTTTTCTTATTTCCCCTTTCATAACACCTTTCCCCCTCTCTAAAGGTCATTTCTCCCTCTCCACTTCCCAATGGACCCTGTCTACTTTCCTGGTTTCTATAGTCATTTCAGGCTATATACTTAAAACATTTGAAGCTTGGATTCACAGATAAAAAAGAACTCTGAGACTGGCTACCTCATTCATTATAATATTTCCTGGTCTATTCATTTGCTTGCAAATTCCATTATTCCATTTTTCTTTACAACTGAATAGAATTCTGTTGTGAATATGAATCATATGTTCATTATCCAGTCATCAATTGAAGGGCATTTAGATCGTTTCTATTTTCTGGCTATTGCAAATAGGACAGCATTGAAAATGTTTGAGGAAATATCTATTGAGTATATGCCAAGGAGTGGGGTAGCCATGTCATTTGTAAATCGACTTTTAACATTTTGAGAATTCTCTGTACTGATTTTCAGAGTGACTGCACCAATTTTAAATGCCATCAACAGTTGTTTTATTGATCTTAGCCACTTTGACTAGGGTAAGATGAAATCTCAAAATAATTTTAATTTGCATTTACTTAGTTGCTAAGGATGCAACACAGCTTTAAAGATGCTTTTTGTAAATTTTCTTTCTTCTGTTAACTCTGTTCGAATCCATACCCAGCCTTTTTTTTTTTTCTTGACTCATCATCATTCAAAGTTTTAAAGTTTTTATTGTAGAGATAATTCGCTTTTGGTTTGTTTTATTCTTAGATGTGTTTTTCAAGACTTTGTAATATTCAAGTCTTGTTTGTTTGATAATCTAATGGAATACCAATTATCTTATTATGTTTTTTTGCTGTGATGAAACACCTTGGCCCAAAGCAACTTGGGTAGGGAACTTTATTTCAATCTTCTAGCTTGTAGTCCCTTATGCAGGCAAGTCAAGGCAGGTATCCAAGTCGAGAACCTGGAGGGAGAACTGATCCGCAGACTTTGGGTTAGTGCTGCCTACTGGCTTCTTCCTCCTGACTTTCTCAGCTTGCTTCATATCCAGGACTACCAGCTCAAGGATGGTATCACCCACATTGGTTTGGGCCCTTCCACATCAATCATTAATCAAGAAAATGACCTATAGACATGCCTATAGGTCAGTCTTTTGGAGGCATTTTCTCACTTAAGAGTTCTTCTTCCCAGATATGCTTAGATTTATGTCACATAGACAAAACCCTCATAGCACGGCAGTGAAAAAATAAGGGGTCAATATTCAATTTATAATAAAGTACTCTTAGGAAAAATTAGATATTCATCTATGTTACAAATGAAAATGGAGTATTTATTAAATAAATAGTTTGGTTGTTTAGAAATGAATCATATTACTCTTCCCTGATAAAAAATGTGTGTTCCCACTTTCAAGTGAGTGAAGAAACAGCTGAAATAAAGGAAGCCTTCTCCTTTCTTAATCTTTACCTCAGAGAAGTCTTTTGGGGCATGAAACAAACAAGCAAAAAATATCTGAAAGATGGTTTATTATAGTGATATTAATTTCAATATGAAGTGGCATATCAAAATTGAAAGAAATGATGAACATGGAAATTATTTTAATAAAAAATTAAATAAGTTTAATATCTTTAATGGTAAAGAAGTGTTACAGACTTCAGTAGGTCAGACACTGGCGATGACTCAGTTGTTACTGTGTCTGCTGCCCAAGAAGTCCTAAGTGCAGATCTCCAGAAACCATGTCAATTATGGATGGATGTGGAGGTCTGTCTGTAGTCTCAGCCTTGGAATGCAGACTTAGGAATCTCCTATAACCTAGCTAATATGACTAGGTACATTTTAAAGACTTGTATGTAATTGTAAAATCTTGCCTTAATAAACTGGAAGAACAATTAGGATAGATTGCTGATGTAAACCTTAGGCCTCCACATATGAACATATTTGCATGCTTAGACATATGCTAATTATGTTTAATTGATTACAGTTAATACATTTGCACATGTGTAACCCAACCCACATATACAGAAATAAATATATACATACCACACATGTATATACATGAAAGGATAGTGTGCATGTATACAGTGTGTTACACACAGTGTCTCATACACACGCACATACTTCACTAAGACAGAATAGGTTACTCATTAATACAAATGGCTAGCAGAGGTTTTGAGTTTAGTCTTACTAGCAGTTAAAGCAATACAACACTGATTGTGAGAGTTGAGTGTCTGAGAGTTTGCTTTGTCTGCCAGGTTGTGCCGCCCTTCTCAGCCCCAAGTAAACATGGACGCTACATTATTAAATTGTTGGCTGATGGCTAGGGCTTTTTATTATCTAGCTCTGTCCTGATTATTAACACATTTTATAAATAAACTATTTCCACGTGGTCTTGGCTTACCAGAGAATGTCTGGACCTGTTACTCCTTTGTGGTCCATCTCTGATGGGGTTTCTCTGCCTACCTTTCCCAAAATTTTCCTCATATCCTAGGCCCACCTATCTTCCTGCCTCATTGGCCAGTGTTTTATTCGCCAGCCAATAAGAGAAACATATATCCCATCAGTTGAGTTTTTTAAAAATTATAAATATGTATGAATGAAGATATGAATGATTTCTGTTTTCTATAATAGGGTATTCCTTGTAGCTTTAACAGTTATCATTACCCAGAAGTTCTACTCCACTTTAAAAAATTCTTTTGAACAAGCTATGAGAACCTATTAAACTGATACCATGCAGATATCCATTGCAGTTTTGATGGTATCAGGCCAGTCTGTCTGCCTGACTTCTTTCTCATTTTGCTTTGCTTCTCTTACATTTTCTATATTATGAAGGTAAGTAGATGGTGACTCTTTGTAATTAAATTTTTGAGAACTTTATAAATGAGTACTAGCTGTATTTATGTCATTTTCATCCCATCCCATGGCTATCTGATTTTTCAGTGTTTCCCATGCTTTTCTCAGGGTTATGTAAAATAACTTACGTACATATGACAATTTGTTCCATATCACAGATACATAATGAGTCACTCTACGACTGTGTTACTAATTCATTTGTATTGGAGACTATGGACAATTGATGAGTGGGGTGCTGAAGTGATGTCTTACACTCTGATGGTATCTGTGACGAGGACTGGTTTTCTCAGACAACACAGGAAGCTGCCTCCCTTTCTACCAACAGAATGATCTCTCTACTTTCATGTTTCACTTTTCTCCCTGTATAGTTTATATTTTCTCTCAGTTTTTAAAATAAAAGAGCATTTTTATCTGTTATGGAAAAAATCATGGTAATTTGTTTATTTTAAGTGGCAAAAAATATAAACTTTTTTGTGCTAAAGTGTGGCATTTATATTTAAAATACCAAAATCAATATTAATAAGACTAGTACCTCATCTAACAAAGTCAAAGCTAACATAACAACTAAGATTTTGTGCCTATTTGTGTGACCCACTGTTGAACACCAGTATAAGAGAAAACATTTTAATTTTGTTATTGAAGTTAAACCTCAAGAAAAATGTGAGGTTTCTGATTAAACTTGTTTAAAATTATATTTAAAACTTCATTTTCTGTCATGCTTGCTAAAGATTGTTTCTCATATTATCCAACATTCCTAGCTAGCTGACTTCAGCTCTTCCTAAATCTACAGGCATCCTAATTTGGAGCCATTATATAATGAAAACATTGGGTGTAATTTCTTAGGTCTACAGTTCTTCATTGCCCTTAGTGCAGATCTTTACACTGTAGCTCATGATTATAATTTGCATAAGTGAAATTCATATTTATGAGTACAGATCTTGAAGCAACTGACAGGTGCAAGGTTGTCTACCATGCCAATTTATTGTTTGTCATGTCATTTAAAAGATAACTGCTCCCTATATTTTAAAGAAGAATACATGCTCTGGTTGAATTACAATCAAATTCTAAAAGTAGATAGAACTCATTTGTAACATGCCACTTTTGTGCTTTTCTATATAACATGAACATCTTTGTGGCAGTGATTGTTTGACTATGTATTTACATGTTGGGAATGTCCTTTGACACACATGAAGCCTTGGGTTCATTCTCAAGCACTGTAAGGAAAGAACAAAGCATCTGACTCAGCTGCTGCTGTCTACTAGTGAACTCTTACTATGTTTCCATTCATTTCTCCTCACCCTACATTCAGGGTATGCATGAGCTGCTGGCACCTCTCATCTTTACCCTTCACTGTGACCACCAAGCTTTCCTCCACGCCAGTGAGTCTGCGCAGCCCAGGCAAGTTATTAAGTTGAGTTTGTGTATACTTTCTGTCTTCACTGTATCTTTTGTCATGTTAAAGCTCAAATATTTTCATATTGAAGCTACTTCAGCTTTGTATTCTATGAATAATTGGATGTATTTCATGAGACTGATCCATGTTAAATTTTAATGCTCGTTTAGATATATAGTAAGTTTGAATCATGTCTTTGAAATGTTAAGACTGTGTCAAATGAAGACATAAATGTAATGGACCCATAAAGAAATGTCTGTTGCCCTTTGAAACTGCTGATAGTGGATACTACTCAGGCATACTGTGCTCCAAGTTGTCACTGTTCGTTTAATGGGAACTTTCTGTGTTAGTTCCCCAGCAGCTCTGACTGAGCTCAGTCCATAATGGAGTAGTGCTGCCAAGGACACTGCTCTGGGAAATAGAGCAGCCTTTCACGAGGCACGTTCAGTTAGTCCTCTTGTAGATGACTTTTGTAATAGCCCTTAACTTGCTGACTGTTAAAATTTAGCTTTCTAACTTAAAACAACAGGGAAGCAACCAAGAAGCAAATTATTATTGGTGAGCAATAGGGTTGTCAGGCATTGTCAAGAGTATCCCGTCTAAGTGAATTGGATGCAGGAAAAATATACCTGCTGATAACTTGACACAAGTTTGTATGATCCTTCCTAGTCACATGTAAGCTGTCTGTTTTGCTGGAAACAGGCCCACATATGAATTACTGGTTGTATAATGTCTAGTTTTCTAATTGTATTGATTTTATCAAACCTTGACATAAGTAACTTACCTTTTAACTGCCTTGAGTTATGCTATAATCTCATGAAACTAGTCTTGAGATCATGTTTTCATGCCAGTTTTCTGTCACTGTTGCATGTAAAATAACATCCATAAGAACATAGAGGCAATTAGAAGTAATTTCGGAATGAGCAGACTTTACTGTTTTAGTCCATTACAAAGTAGAATGGCATCGAGTGTATTTGCTAAGGGTTCTGTTGGTGACTAATGCATGTTAAGATGAAATAAGGAAGTCAATAAAACACTTTTTGGTATTGCGTGCTCAATCAGTAACTATAGTTTTGTTTGTTTTGAAAGAAAAGTGTTACATTGTAAAATAAGAAATCACTCTAGATCAAACTCAGTCAAGAAATACAATGTCACTCTTACCATACATTTTCTGGAATAATTAGATGGTTAATTCATTGGGACACAGACAAGCAAACAACTTCTTTCTGATCTTTATAAGAAACAGAATTTTTTTTGTTACTGGAGTTGAACTTTGAAAGGCTAACTTTTTAGCTGTGCATTGTAAGTTAACTTATGAATGCAGACTATGGCAGAAGCTACCTCTACTAGAGTTATTAAAATTTGTTCATGCTGATTGCTGGAATTGTCTTCTTTTTTTAAGTGAGGAAATGAAAACTCTATTGAACCCTGAGTATCTGGAACATGATGCCTTGTAAGTACTAGGACTATTACTTTTTCTTTTTCTTTTTAAAATACTATCAGTGCTTTAGTGAAGATTAAACATATAATTATTTTATTTTTCCAATTTTTAGTGCAATGTTCTCACAGCTTATGGAAACTGCTGAACCTTGGTTTTCTACTTTTGAGCATGATGGTCAAAAGGTAACTCTTACATTACAGATGTCTTCAGTAAACTTGAATTATAAATAAATCCAGTCAATAAAAACGTACACTGGAATAATTAATTATTTCACTGATATTTCACTGTTCATTTTTGTAATGAAATACAAAAATATTTAGAGTATAATAGTGAATCTTGGTACATATTCTAATAATATTGGTAGGTAAATAATACAACATAAAGATTCATATAAGAAAATAGAACCTTTTCTTTATAAATGCATATTACTCATGCAGTAATACCACTTAATTACAAAATTATTATAAACTTTTAAAATTTCTTTTGTCTTTTTGAGACAAGGATTCAGTATGTAGTGCTAGCTAGTTACTAACTCATAGAGATCTGTATATTTCTGCCCTCTGAGTTTTGGGATTAAAAATGTGTGCCTCACCTAGCTATTATAAACTTTCTATTTCTCTCTTGGTGAGGTTTTTTAAGCATTGTTATTGAACCACATTGGTAGATATCTGTGTCAGACCGCTTGCTTTTCATTTTCGAGTATATTATTTTAAAATCACAGATTTAATATCGATGTCCTTTACTCTTTATTTTACCGTTTTTTTTTTTTATTGAAGCCCTATGTAGGGTTGAAATCACTCAGGAATAGCATTTGAGCAGAGGATAAAATTGAAACTTTTCTATATGAAAATGGATCTTTGGGAGAAAAAGCATAAACAGTATTGCTTGAGCATTCGATTTAAACTCAGCAGTAATCTAAGACTCACTCACAAGGGATGTTACAAATGCCCGTATCGGAGACATAGAAATGAAGGACTGAAGGTCACAGTTGGTCAGGTTTATGGTGTCCGGGAAAATGTGAAGTGATGGGAAAAGGCCACTGAGGGGGGGCCTCCCACAGATTTTATTTTGAGCACTTACTTTTGTGGTGCAGTTGACAATCTTTTCTCCCCAACTTAAACTGACACAAGGACAGAGAGAGAACATTTCCTTTTTAAAATGATTTCTTTTGTTCTTTCCCCTTTTGTGTAGTTTTCATTTAGTATTTCTATTTTAATTGCTAGAAATACACTTCCATCAATGTGTTGCATTTATATGCTGTGACCAATCAGATTCACTGGCCAGGGGCAGCTTGACATGTTTCACTGCCTCTAGCCAAATTCTCCTGGAAAATTTAATGTCACAAGAGAACTGCTCTAGAGAAAGATACTTAAAAGAGATGTCTTGGCTGTGTGGGCCTCAGCTGTCGGCGTGTGAATGTTATGCCTTCATTGTGACTGAGAAGTGTTGGTTCTTTAGACTCCTTCTGATGAATAAATTAAGCATTGTCCATGTTTTCCAGTTTCAAATTGAAATAATACATGTTCTATTTTTCATATTTTCAGGGAAAAGAAACTTTGATGACCCCCATCCCCTTTGCTAGACCACAGGATTTAGGGCCAACAGTTGCCATTGTCACAAAAGTCAACCAGATCCAGGATCATCTACTGAAGAAACATGATATTGAGCTCTACATGCACTTGAACAGACTAGAAATTGCACCACAAATATATGGGTTGTAAGTTTAAAATTTCTACTTTGGTTTTTCTAGTTACGATTTTCTAGTAGTTTCTGAATACCTCAGATCCCTAAGGTTAAGGACTGTTCTAGCTGTCATTTATGTGCCATGCCTAACCCTGAATTCTCTTCACACATGGTGTCATATCCGAAGTAGCCACTACTCCCATAGCTGAGGAAGCACATCCTACTAGACTCGCTTTATACCTTTTAAACAGTGAGGTAGAAGTCTTTGACCATGGCAGAGTATGTCATTCAACTAAGCAGTCTAAGGAAGCATGGGATTGCACAGGTAAACACACATGAATCCAGGCCCGAGACCCAAATTCCTCTAGACTGTGTTCTGTAAATACCTTGAATTTACTTCTGGAAGAAAAAGGTGTTCCTGGTGATTTAATGTGGTATGTAGGTAAATTAGGGTTATAGTTGTTTATTTAGTGTAAGTTAGCTATCTAAAGCTGTAGATCACTCCTTTTGTCTTCATCTACTGCTGAACAATTTCTTGGGACATCCTTTTCTTTTTTATTGTTTTGGAGGCTGGCCTGGAACTTGCTCTGTAGACCAGGCTGGCCTTGAACTCACAGAGATCCACCTGCCTCTGCCTCCCAAGTGCTGGGATTAAAGGCATGTGCCACCAACGCCTGGCTTTGGGACATCCTTTAATGAAGCCTAACTCTCAATTAGGCCAGAAATTGAAAAATAAGAAAACTGCTGAGATGTACATAGAAGTTTCTCAGTAATTATTAGTTTTGAAGTTTCTCAAGTGAGTCAAGCTTGGAGCCAAAATGGGGACTGTGTTCTTAAACTTACATAAAAGCTCCAATGAGTGTTTTATTTATGTTTTCTTCTTAGGGAGCTCTGAATTCTGTTGAAGAAGTCTGCTTTCTTGTGTTTATGGGGCTGCTTTTTATTTATGTGATTTAGCTTTGGCATCAGTGAAACAACTCCATTGTCCCATTAGAATGATGAACTTTTGTGTCATGGTCATTGGGCAACACAGGGTGATATTAAGGAATTTCCATTTAAAAGTGAAATAATGTCTGTCACTGTAAATACTGAACTTCAATTTAAATAGTCAGGAGTTAAGTTCTATTTTCCTTTCCATGATGCAAAGAATTGATGTATCCAAAGATAAATGCACACTAATGCCACAAGGAAAATTGTAAGTATAAAGAAAATGTGATTTTGGTTGTTTAAACTGCTTTTTATGAAAAAATTGAAGACTTATGTCCCCGTTTCCTAATTTCAATTATTGCTATCAGGAAAGTAGGGTCTTTAATGCAACAGGAAGAAGTTACTATTTAACATTGTTACCGTGTCTTTGAACTGGTGCATGGATGCGAATATACTAATTTGTATCTAGAATTTCCAGTACCAAACAATAGTTTATTTTTAAATTTTCACTCTTTAAATTTTCTACTTTAAAAAAATTTTATACAATATATTTTGGTTCTTGTATTCTTATCCCCACCTCAAGTCCTCCTAGTTTCCATGCCTATTCCCCTTTATATTCCTTCTCTCTCTTGAGTACACACACACACACACACACACACACACACACACACACACACACACACTATCTCTCTCTCTCTCTCTCTCTCTCTCCTCTCTCTCTCTCTCTCCCTCTCTCTCTCAAACAAAACAAAACAAAACACACATGGAGTCCTTTTAGTGTTGGACAACTATTACTGAGCGTGAGGCGTGACCTGAGATGCAGTTGATGCAGTTGATGTACTGGTGTCCTGAAGTTGAAAACTTGCTTTCCGTTTTCCAGTAGCTTGTTGGTTGGGGACTAGACTTTGTGCCCACTTCCCCTTCTCAGTGCTAAGATTTTTGTTGGTTGGGGACTAGACTTTGTGCCCACTTCCCCTTCTCAGTGCTAAGATTTTTGTCTGGTTTGAACTTGTGAAGTTTTGGGCATGTTGTGTCTTTATTGTCTGACCCTTGCAAGCATCCTCGTCTTCCTCATAGATCCCTGATTGACCCTTGAAGGAAAATTATTTTATCTTTATCCTAGAGCTCATTGGATATCCCTATAATCATTTTTCTTTCTACATTATATTTATTACTAATAATATTGTGGCTTGCAGTTACCACAGTTGCCTCATGTTTCTTATTTTAATCCAAATATCATTTGAATTATCTTTAATTATGTTTTTATCTTTGAGAAAGGGCATGCTTGTTTTATCAATTTTCCTGGTACAAAGATGTTTCTCACTTACTTGCTTTGCTTACTGTTTGTGAGGCATATAAAAAGTCACATGGGTTGAAAAACCTCATGTACCTGAAGTCTCATCCTAAGCCATATTACCATTTGTGTATTTCTTATTGGTTGTATTAGAAACTTGGAAAACGTATTTATGTGTGTGTGTGTGTGTGTGTGTGTGTGTGTGTGTGTGTGTGTGTGTGTGTGTGTACAAAAGGAATCATACCTGTTTAACTGCTTTGAGCCCTAACTTTGTTATCTGGGAAATGATGTTTGACAACAAAGGTATTTGCTTCTTAGGGTGTCGTGAGAATTAAGTGGTGATACAAAGAGCACAGTGTTTACAGTACAGTATAGTACACTACAGTAAACATTCAATGTACATGTGAAAGTATTCTGTTATCGTTTCTATCCTTACCATTATTTCATTAGAATATTCTGGCTCTATGAATATGATGTACTCTGTGATTTAGGAACCCTTCCAACTCTATCTTGAGCATTCTGTATTCATCAATAAATACATAGGTTTCTAATTACAAGGAAATATGATGGCATTTAAGAGATGGCATTTAAATTGAGAGTAGTTTTAAATGGTTATATCACCCTGGCACAACAATACAGATTTGTGTCTAATGGAAATGAATCGAAATACTTTTGTCTTATTCTATAATATTCACACAGTATCTATATAAAAACTTGTTTATGCTACCATTTGTTGTTGCTGGAAGAAAGTTAATTTTACATTCATTTAATATTTGCAAATATACTCTAAAGTTTGCATAAGTAAGTGAACAAAAATATAATGATCAAATTTCAGTTAATGAAAATATTTTTGTGAGCATAAAATCAGAATTCTTGATTTCCTTATCTATCGTGTAGTTTTGCATGACAGCTCTTATAGAATTTTCATTTGAGACAAAATATGTGCTTTTTGGTTGGTAAAATATTTTGGCAAAATTGGAAAATGATTTGACATAGGTCTCAGTAGTAAAATTGCCAATAGAAAAATGTTAGCAGTACTAACAACCTGTATAGAATGGAGATTCTTCCATAAATATATTTATGTTGGAGGGAAATGTGTTAGAAAATCTGAGTATATCCTGTTTTGAATACTGACTTCTAATTTTCTTAATATGTAGCTTTATCATGATTCATTTTAAAAAATTAGCCAGCTACTCCATTTTTAAATGCAGGTTTTATGAAAGTATATAAATTGAAGTCATATGAGAAGGGACCTATGTCATCTACTTATGTCTGCTGCATTCACGGTAAATGTATTACTAAGCAAATAAACTTTTTTAACATAATAAATAGATACAATTATTGATTGCTATAAGAATAATTGTATTAACATTGGTTGACATTATTCGAATAGTTTTATCTTAATTTGGGGTTAATTGGTGATATTTATCTTGAAATTCATGATCCATAGACTCCTGAGCATTACATAATATCTTGTATGTTAATCCTATTATTACAATAATACAAAATAATAAATCCTAAAAGTAATTTAAACCATGTTTTCTGTTGGTGTTAAAAATGATTACTCCTGCTGTACTTGAAGTCATTCAAATAATTAACATAGGATATCTTTTGTTTGGCAATTAGTGTTTGATACTGGGATATTTTTGAAAAGCAACTTTTGTTAGCTCTCACTGCATACTAACCCAAAGAAAAAAATTAACTTCAATATCGATGCCTCCCTTGGTTATTTTTTACGTTGCTTTTGTGATATTTTTGTATCTAGATTATGAATAAGATCTTATTTCATAACATGTTTCTGATTATAGAAAAACATGAAATGTGTTTGAATTTTGTCTCTGATGCTCTGAGTCCTGACAGATACATAATCAATACTGGTTCTTATAAACATCTGGCACTATGGTTGCTTATTTCTTTCACAATATTCACGTATACTGAACACAAAAATTGAAGTTTTAGTGAACCATTTTTCTGCCTTAGTCATCTTTTGTTATAATCTTAAGTTTTGACTATATTTGACATTTTGGCATAAATGAATATATACTAAGGACCTGTGGGTGTACATTTAATATCCCTTTTGAGGAAGAGTCCTCATAGCATGCTTGAGGACTGCACTCTTAAATTATGGACTTAGAATTTCCAACACTCCTGAGATAAATTCTCTATCATTCAAATCCTTATTGTATGTCTCTGTCTTTTTTCTCAAGCTTAGTAGGTATTGCACTGTTTATTTTGTTAGGGAAGATTCTTGATTATTGGTAAATCTGCTTAATATTGTAGTACAATGTAATAGTACTTATGTTGCAATATACTGATTCTTCACATGTCATAGTATAATAATCTGTGAGTACTCAGTTTCTTTAAGCCTATACTTGACATAGGAACATATGGTTAAATTCAAAAGTCAGTATAATTATTCACCTAAAAATTGCATCATTTTGCAGTTGAAGTAAATAATTTCATAAGATCAGTTATTTAATAAAATAGGCCTTTTCTTTTCAATCTGCTTTACTGTATACATCAAACATCATATATATATATGAGAAATTAGATTGTAGCAATCCACTTTTATCTTGTTTTCATAAACTACTGAATCTTACCCTCAATTATTTCTTTCACAAACCTTGCTTTTTCTCTTTTAGTATGAAAAATTTAACAATAAAAATTGTAAGGAAGAATAAGAAATATCTGAAGTAGTAATGCAGAATTACAAATATTTACTGTTTCCTATGATCTAATTCTTATTCTAAAGACTTCATACGAATTATCTTGTTTATCTTCACAACACATTATATTTCCAGATTTAAAAAAAG